CTTTTTTATATGTCACGGAAGTCTGGGTGCCGTATTCTCTAGCAGGTGTTATCATGAACCTAAATCTTCAAATAAAAACTCAGTTGCGCTTTGTGTCATTTCTCACTTGTTTAATTTACGGTTGAGCGCCGCTTATCTTTATCACTAGAATCTGCCTGGAACCGATGTCAGTCCTTTTTGAAGTATATGCATCACAATGTGTTTCATCGCATTTTAACAGTAAGCAATTTAATGCTCACTAAAAGCACCTCTTTCAAATAAATAAAACAGTTGTGAAGTTTCAATTACTCGCTATATTACCGTTTTTTTTTTGGGGGGGGGGGTGACTGAATTACGTTTTATCAGCTGTGAGGAATGTTATCCATCCTCAAATAATCAATTATAACATCCCCATTCGAACGACGTATTTACCGGAATATTTGAAACCAGTGGGAAACAGAATGATTTGACATTTTCTATGCATTCGAAGGTTTACACGCACAAACTTTTAAGAGAATTGAAATCTCATAGATCAACTGAAAACTCTCCAGAAACTCACAACTCAATCACATGTGCGTTCATTGTAATCTGCGATCAAGTCATTGCTGCCGGTCCCCGGTGTTCTGTATATCGAACTTGTGGGAATGCTTGGTTCAGCAATCTGCTGCTGAGAGATCGGTGTATAACTCAGTCCCACGTCTTCATTTACATTTGGTGAAGATTGGAAGACTAAACGCACCAAATTAAACATTTCGAAGGTTTGTCCAGAGTGGTGCGCGTATTACTTGTGGATGGATGATCGTCGGATTGTGTTCCGTTTATCTTTACGCTCATTCACAATACTCAAACTGTGGAGATTTTGTTATCGCTGTAACCCGCTGAAGCACTCAGGACACAAAAAACTACCGTAAGTGGAGTACCTGACACTAGCGGTAATGTAAACAATCACAGGGAGTTTTAAACCGAGTTTCCATCCCGCTAAGTGCATGAAACGATTTCTTGACCTGACCTGAACTATATTTAAACATTGTGTGTCGGTACGAAAAGCAACTTCAAATATAACATATGCAAAGTGAACGGAATGCAGACCCCAGGCTGTGGAGGGCGATTAAGCGAGTCATCTCTTCCGATTCATGGGCAATGCAAAGTCCCGCAACCCACTCGTAATATCGTACCCATTAAGTCAACAGAAAACAGGGCGAACTTTGAACACAACTACAGCCCTGTAAACTTATCGCTACTACTACTACTACTACTACCAAATGCTCCAGTAAAGTATTTAAGTGCCTGATTAAAAGCCAGTGGCGGTATTTCATTTCCCAACTTCTAGTGGTGCAGTGGAGAAGTCTCAATTACCGGAGCGCTGTGAACTCTGTGAGTTAAGGTTCGAGCCCGATCAATGTCACCCAGATTTGGTGGTAAGCAGCGTTGCTAACGTCCGGTTTAATACCAGGCTTAACCTATCGGGGACTTATGTGCTTCGCTACTCTAAGTCCCGGGCTTAGGTTACCGGTTTCCATCCTCGTGACCTGTCTGCTGTTCATCACACTAAATGTGTATGGACATTTTTCAAAAAGGTGTTGCCATCTAGAAATTGTTTTCAATTTTGCCACCTTATGTGCAAGGTTTTCACCGCACGGTTCACGCTAAGTGATAAGGATTGCGTCAACACAGACTTGGCATAATTTAGCACACTGCCAAAGTAATAAATTTAACTTGGATGCTGTTATCATTTTATTTCCTTTACCTCATTTCTAGGGAAAATACAAGTGTACAAACCATACCGGGTAGGATCGGAGCAATGACTCATTGGTCTACCATGGGATGAAAAGAAAATGGGGACAATTTAGGTAACGCACTTTCGAGGTGTAAGAACTTTCCCTCTCAAAATATGGCGTTAGCAACAAGTTTAATCCCAATCGACTTTCAAATCAGACACCGTTTTGCAGTGAACAGATCGCAAACAATATTTGTGGGCAATCAAAAGGTTTCTCGAATAATCTCGCAGATAATCTTGCAGATCGCCGTCCCCTATGAACTTGTACAGGACCAAACGCCACAAAATGTGCTGCTTAGTCCGCTGCTTTTATCCACAGTCGAAACATATTGAGGAGGGTAACAGTTTGGAGTCTGCGGCTACACCAGAATAAGAGGAAACTGCGCTCTGTGCACAGAGGTGTAGAGAGCGGTTAGTGTGTAAACACATTAAGGTTTTTGGAATTCGGAGGTCCATTTGCTTTCAAAACAATAAAACTCAGAGTATGCCCGGATGGGGGGGGGCAATTTTAGGAAACAAATTCACTTGTTATATTTGGGTATACCAAATGAATAGACTGAGTCAAACTGATTCATATATTATCCACATCTAATGCGGCTGACCAAATCGTAACGAAACATGGGATTCTATAGGATAAGACAAGGTTCAGCACATTCCAGATATTTTTCGCTTCGTTTTCAATTATTGTACAAACCAAGAGAACCATTTCCACTCTTGATTATCATTACTCATTTCTTAGGCAAATCAGATTGTCCAACTGTTCGTTGTATGATGCTATTATCAATTGATTCCTTTCAATCTGGGCGCAAAAGATCTTCCGTCATAATTAACGAAAAAACTATCAGTTGTTCACGGCAGTAGACATTCTGTATCCCTCATCAGCTGGCGTTTAGGGAGAGAGTTGTGACCTTGACAATGCTTGCATGTGTGGTTTTTTTCTTGCAAAACTGATGAATTCAAATCACACCAGGATGGTTTATTGGTGAAGGCCTTTGGAAAGCCTCTATTTTATATTAGTTCCATAGACTCTATCCCTAAGCAGCTTTCAAACCAATGTTCAGAACATTCTGGGAGTGAGCTTTATAAAGGACAAATAGTGGAAGCTTCGTTGAACCTAAGACTAAACACCTGGGTCAGAACTTCATCAACGACCCCATTGCATTTGATTACATTGCAAAAATCATGACGTTCGTTTTCTGAAATTCTTGTTGAATTTACCCAAAATGCGCACTGTTATGTCCGGACGAATTTTGTGTAAATCATCTATTGGAATAGTGTGGAATTGCAGGGAACAACAGTGAGAAATTTCTATCCAAATTTTTGGCTAAATTCATTACTATCCAATAAAACCATGCTACACAACTGTTCTTCCTACCGTTTTAATATGTAGTAGAAAAGAAATAAACAGTCATCACTATAGTATCAAGTCTGCGGCCGAAATAGACCGTTCGGATTGGTGGTTAAGGATGGAGACACAGCCTTGGTTTCGGAGTTAACAAAACTACTAGGCTCAGAGTGGGATAAAAAACAGGTTCCAGCAGAATCGTTTGAATCGGTAATCGTACCGATTTACAAGAAAGGCGACAGGTCCTCTTGTGAAAACCACAGAGTAATTAGTTCGATCCACCTTGCTTTTAAACATCTTGCTGGCATCACACTCAGTCAATTTTCTGCCGCACGTGAACGGTTCACGCTGGTTCAGGCTGGTTTTAGAACTGATCGAGGTTGCATAGACCACATCTTCACTCTGCCAAACTCTGGAGCACTGGCAATCTTTTCGTATATCACCGTTCTCTATCTTTCTCTATTTGAAAGTGGCTTTCTATTCAGCCGAATGCTCTAAACTCTGGCAATGCCTCAATCTACAGAATGTGCCCCAGAAGTTTATTTCAATAAAACGATACCTTCATATTAATAGCCGAAGTTAAGTCCGAGCTTACGGTACTTTCTTGACCGAGTTCACCACGGAATATGGTGCTCGACAGGGTTACTCTCTCTCCGTTTCTAGTTAATTTTGTCATAGGTTTATTTCGATAAAGCCCTATCCTCGTGCGAGGATACCGGTATCGGTTTACTCCCGGGTGGCACACTGTCTGGTCTGGAGTATGCAGACGACATTGTGCCACTAAGTGTACATTCAGGTAAGTTCCAAGCATTTCTGATAATTTAAGTNAATTTAAGTGCTAGTGTAGCCATGTTCGGTAGGAATTTTGGACCTCCAAAGTGTAATATGTTACTTCAAAACTGGGTTGGTCATGCACACAGATCCACTTTAATTGAGTAAATGATGAAGCAAGTAGATAAGTTTTGTTACTTGGGCAGCTCCGTCTCACCCGGTAGACGCATCGCGTATGAAGTGCTCACATACAGAAGGTTCAGATGGCATTTGTCAATTTGAGACATCTGTCGTCGTGACATTCGGTTGACTATGAAGGGTCGAGTGCAACAGTTCGGCCAGTTCTGTTATACGGCGCAGAAACATGGCCATTAAGCAGGAAGGATAAAGATAAACTGTCAGTGTTCGAACACTGCTTTCTACGTAGAATTGCATGAGTCTGTTGGGGAAGCCGGACGAGCAGTGCTCAGGTTAGGCACAGAGTTTTGGGCAACCGTGGTCGCCTACTGGAGCAAATGGTCGACCTCCATAAGTTACGCTGGGGCATGTGTTGGGCGTCATCAAATAGGTTGCTACGGCGAACGATGTTTTCCGAGGCAGATAGCGATTGAATAAACATCAAGGGTGGCCAAACGAAGACCTAGTATGAGGGTATGAAAACCTTAACCAGCAGACTAGGTCACATAAGTCTCGTTAGGCTCCCTGGCTGGGTACCCCGAGATGATGATCACCGATGGTTGGGGACACTGGGTGATACGGCTGCACGTCATGAACAGTGGCGATCGTGCATCTTCTAAATATCTTTTCAACACTATTCCACTGAACTTTTCTAATTTTTATTCGACTGTACTCTCAACTTTCTTCACTTTCTCCTACTAGCCTTCCAAATGGGCAGCCAAACGACAGCAACCAAAATCGGCGCACGGAAGTGCGTGGTTAATAACTGAAACTACAGTGCGATTGCTTCATCGTTTTCGATCGTCTCGGCTCTCTCACTCGTGACCTTATGCAAGTAAATTCCCTCTGAACCCTATTGCGATCTGATTGGATCATATTCCGCGGTCTGCGGCGCTTAAAATCTCTCACCTCAACACGAGACTGTCTGATTACCGACTTGTACGTTTTGTAATGCTCTTGTTGTTACGTCCAGTCCATCCGAGTGCTGATGGCACTCCTGCTACACAGTCGAAGTTCACTGGGCCTGCCTCGGACTCAGCTGTGCTAGTATGGGCTGGTATTGTGCACAGTAGGATTCCCCGGCCGTACTTTTTCAATGGAAACGTAACAGGGAAGAACAATTTTGCTTATTAAATTGTTTAAGGCAAATGTCACAAGATAATATGGTACCTGCCATCAAGCGTATAGAAACTGAAGTTGGTACTACAGTTTGGTTCCAACATGACGGTGCACCGCCACACAATGCTCTGGTGGTGAGATGTTTCCTCGAC